AATGAGATTTTATCTATTTTTTCTTGCCATTTCCCCAAGGATTTTTTTTTAAAAAAATGATAGTATATAAAACTCATGGGGGGAGGTTTAAAAAAAACAACAGAGGCAACAAAACCTCCTTAAGACATTGCCCAAGTGTCTTTATTACTATATAATGGGGGGAGAGAGAGAAGAGGACTAATTTGAAGGCTCAATAATAAAAAAAAAAGAGATAGACACTTAATCTGACTATAATTTTTTAAGTAATGAAAATCTAAGCTAACTCAATTTTACAATATTTTAGTTTAGATTACGAATGACATGTTATCAAATTTTTATATCATTTATTTTGGTTTTATAAAAAAAAGTTGCTATTCATATAACATGTTGTGTAATTGCTCTTAGAAAATGAGATGATTGGGTTCTTCTTTAAATAATAACAGGATAGTGACATGCAGAATTATTTTGAGTTCTTTGTGACATAAATTACTTGAAACTCACATTATTTTCATATTTTCTATGTATTATTTTGAAAATCCAAGACTGAGAAATATTTTGCTGAGTGGGAGCTGATCCTAGCAAAATTTTGGACAAGTTGCAATTAGAATGGGAAGATTTATTATGAAAAAATATAATATTACACTTGTAGGTAATGTAACATCTCCCCCCCTAACTCAGCCTCTGCCTCCCTCTCTCCCTCTCTCTCTCTCACACACACACACACACATACAGAGAGAGAGAGAGAGAGAGAGAGAGAGAGAGAGAGAGAGAGAGAGAGAGAGAGAGAGAGAGAGAGAGACTACACACACACTCACACAAATATTTCAAGAAACATTTTGCATAGTTTTTACTTCATACTTCAAAATGTAAGGAAATTGTGTTGCAAATGAGCTGAAGCAACTTTCCAAAATTTCATTCCCTCATGAATGATGGCTCCTGGGTTTTGGACACATTCCTCAAATTAGCCCATCTGAGACAACTATGTATTTTGTGGGTTGTTTTCTCTGCATGGTAACCTTTAATAGGCAGCATTTTACTGGCTAAATTTTTCTTTTTGAATACGTAAAACATTGGAAATCTGATATTCAAACAAATACATATTTTCTTCCTAGGTTGTTTTTTTTAAAATGTCTGAATGAAATTGGAGCAACACAAAAATCATTAGCCATGTTATCACCTGCCATCTCTCTTTCGCTCTGCAGAAAGCAGCATTGCAGGATAACTCTTCCTCCAGAAAGCAGCATTGCAGGATAACTCTGCCCACTGCCAGAGGTTTGATCCTGACAGGCTGAAGGTTAACTCAGCCTTCCATCCTTGCAAGGTTGGTAAAATGAGGATCCAGCTGCTATCAGGACATTCTCATGGCATTTTCATATGTACCTCTGCTACCTTTTTCTGGACCAGCTCAAACCTCTTAAGTGGTTTTAAAGATAGCACCATGTAGTAAGTGTTTCAGTCACCTAGAGAAGAAGTCACCGAGGCATATATTTTAGTTTACAGGTTCAACAGATTATAATTTATAGAGACAGAAGCAATTATAACCATTGATATTTAAAGCTACAGAGAAATACAAATTATTTAAAAAATGTGGAACCCGTGAATTATTTATTATAAATACTTGTTATTGTTATTGTTAAATCAATTCAATATGCAGATTTTAGTTACTGTATGGAATAGGAAATTTGATATTCATACTTTGTGTAAACATTGGAAAAACTACACAATTCACATCAAAAATTGCAATAGATTTTAGACCATTTCTGTCTGAACTTGGAAAAGACTGCCTGTATGAGACATGGAAAAATGAAGAAAAGATGTTGGCAAGCCACTTTTGAAAATGTTGCCAATAAAACTGCAGATACCTGTCCCATGGGTATCAGGGGACAGTATTAACTCAATGGTCCATAACATCATCAATCTCTACATAGATGAAATCAAGCTTAAGAATGAATAAAATAAGTGTTGTCTGCAATTGGGGGAATGGTTATATAAGTTTTATATCATATATCTATTTTTCTCTTTCCGGGTCATATGAAAACCTAACTCAGTACACAATTCACATTTCTTTAAAATGCAATGACATGTGACCACAAAGTCTTGAAAAAGCGACTTTGATGTCCTTGTTTCTCATGCTGTAGATTAATGGATTCATCATGGGTGGAACAATGGAATACATTATTGTAATTATGAAATCAAGATGGGGTGGACTATCAGATATGACCCTTAGATAAGCAAAACTAGCAGTAAAGAAAAATATAGAGAAAACAATAATGTGTGGTAGGCAAGTAGAGAAGGCTTTTGTTCTACCTTCAACGGAAGGAATTCTCAGAACGGCAGAGAAGACATGCACATAAGTCAGAAGGACAAAAATAAAACAACCCAGTGCTAATGTACCAGTAAAGGTCATAACTCCAATTTCATATATATATGAACTAGAACAAGCAATTTTAAGTAAATATGGGATTTCGCAGTAAAATTGATTAATAATCTTAGAACAGAATGGAGTAAGAAAAGTGACAGTACTGTGTAATGAAGCATTGAGAAAGCTGGCTGTCCATACACTGCCTATCATTTTGGTGCAGGTCTTCCTGTTCATTATCATTTCATATTGTAAAGGGTTACAAATGGCAATATACCGATCATAAGCCATCACAGTAAGGAGGGATACATCACAGGTCAAGAAAAAGAAGAAGAACATAACTTGGGCAACACATCCAGCATGAGAAATAGTCCTAGTATTCATAAGAGAATTAAAAACAGCTTTGGGGACAATGACTGAAATGGACCCAATGTCTTGCATGGCTAAATTGAACAGGAAGAAGTACATGGGGGTGTGAAGGCGCTGGTCAAAAACAATAGCAGAGATGATGACAAGGTTCCCTGCTAATGTCATTAAATAGAGTATCAGTAGTAAAGCCATGTGCATAATCTGTAGCTCCCAAATTTCTGAGAATTCCCAGAGAAGAAAATCAGATGTATCATTATTCATTCTTAATAATGATATTCCTAGAAAGAGAAGGAAAAGGAATTGTTAAAATATTTCCATTCAATACCGCTTGTTAATTGGAGAGTATTGAATCAATGTTTAGAGAAGATTAGATTATACTTTGGCTCCTCATATTAATTAAAATATTCTGAGCAAAATAGGTATGTAATTGTGTTTTCTTAAAGTTCAAGGTGTCAAGTCTTATGCTATTATTTTATAGTCTTGGGCTTAGAGATCTTTGAAATATTTAACTTGTTTAATAGATTTTTCTAACACTGATTTCATCAGAAATGGGTGCATAAAGAAATCAGTTCTTTTTATCAGGTCATAGAAAAACTACTGGAAGTTTGATTTGAATACATATACATTCAACTGTGTCAGTGTAACATATCTGAAGTTGTTATCTTAACATTCTCATATTTTGAGTGACCATCACACCTTTACCTTGTTCTACAGAAAATGGGGCTTGTGAAGAATGGCTTCAAATCAGACTCTTCAAATCAATGTGACAACTTCATTTCAGTTAAGAACTCTATATGGTCACCTTGTTTAGAACATGAGTGATTTTTTAATGAGTCCATTTTAAATACTGTCAAAGCCCTTGATTCTAAAAGTATTTTAAAATGAGAACACATTTCAATTGATTTAAAGAAAATAATTGAAATCAAATTACAAGAAGCCATAGTAAATCTTGATAAACAGTCAAATCTCAGCTTTTAAACTGAGTGAGGAATGTTTGAACAATCACTGAGGGTATGAATTGTGGGGAAATTTCTTAGATTACTTGATTAATTTAGAGCATATGATGTTCTAGTGCTGTTGATATTAATCCCTCTACTCAAATAAATGTTCCTAAAGAATATAGGCAAACAACACTTTTAATCTATATTTTGTTGGGATTTTAATTGGAACAGGTAGGTAAGATTTATGAATATTTAAAATAAAAAGGGACAAAAAAGTACAATTCAAAGTATAAATAAGTGAATGACTTACCATCTTTATCCACATATATTCTTCCAGATTTCTTTATTTGTTTTCTTATTGTCTTTCTAAATCCATCAGTGAGATTTTATATTGTACTGAATTTTCATGAGATTTTATCTAATTTTTCTTGCCAATTCCCCAAAGATAAAAAAAAAAACACCCAACGATCTCCATTGCTACTATAAAAAACTACTGTGCAATGTTTTTTTTTAAATAGTAACAGCTCCTTAAATCATTGCCCAAATGTCTTTATTATGATAATGAGCAAAGAGAGATAGGGGACTAATTTGCAGATTCAGTAATGAAAAATAGATGAGCAACAAATCTATGTTTTTATGTGATGAAAATTTAAGCTTTCTCAATTATATAATATTTTACTTACAGAACAAGGATGGCATATTATCAACTCCTATCATTTATTTTGGTGTTATAGGGTGGCAAGTCCCAATTCAACATAATTACTGTTACTTAATACTCAGAAGAATTTTGTAGCTATTCATGCAGCACGGAGCTCTATTCTGAGTTCTTTGTATATAAGTAATCCCTAAAATGTTTGTCTGCATTTTTCAAACACATTTGTTGTACATTATCTTAAAAATCAAACATTAATAAACAATTTGATGGGTAGGAGCTGTTCCCCATTTGGTTTTCTTTCTTTCTTTCTTTCTTTCTTTCTTTCTTTCTTTCTTTCTTTCTTGAAAGTTGGCAATCAAAATGATTAATGATTTCAAGAATAATTTTGCTGTTTGTCCTTTATACCTCCAAAGTTCACAAAATTGTGTCCAAATCTTCTATCTGTTCAAAATTTCATTTTACTTTAAGTCTCTTTGATGTGGGTTGAATAAATGGGTTTAATTTTTCTCATAAATATTGATATAACTCCCAAACAAAAGAAATATGAAGGAAGCCCATTAGATGAATTCAATCATATTCAATATGAGGGGATTTATAGTACCATATCTTTACCGTGTTTCCCGGAAAATAAGACCAGTCTTATTTTATTTTTTTCCCTTCAAAAGAGGCACCAGGTTTTATTTGCGGGGGTTCTTCTTCATTCTTCTTTAAAAAATAATAACTTTTGACCAAAAAGTCTTGAAAGAGTAACTTTGATGTCTTTGATTCTCAGACTATAAATTACTGGATTCAACATAGATGGAACAATAGAATATGTTATTGTTATTATGAAGTCAAGGAATAATGGACTGTCTGATATAGGTTTTAGGTAAGCAAAGGAAGCAGTGAAAACAAATACAAAGAAGACAATGATATGTGGTAAGCAAGTAGAGAAAGCCTTTTTCCTTCCTTCAACAGAAGGAATTCTCAGAACAGCAGAGAAGGCATGTACATAAGTGACAATGAGAAAAACAAAACAGGTACCTCTTAATGTTGCACTGAAAATTATAACTCCAATTTCAGATACATATGAACTAAAACAAGCAATCTTAAGTAAATATGGAACTTCACAATAGAACTGATTAACAATATTAGAGCATAAAGGAGTAATAAAAGTGAAATTAGTGTGTAATGAAGCATTGAGAAGGCTGTCTATCCATACTGTGCCAACCATTTTGGTGCAAACCTTTCTGTTCATTATCATTTCATATTGCAAAGGTTTACAAATGGCAATATACCGATCATAAGCCATGACAGTAAGAAGGGGAATATCAGAGCCCAGGAAAAAGAAAAAAAACAGGACCTGGGCAATACATCCAGAATAAGAAATAGTCCTTACATTCATAAGAAAATTTAAGAAAACTTTTGGGATAATGACTGAAACTGAAGCAATATCCTGTAATGGTAGATTTATCAGGAAGAAGTACATAGGGGTATGAAGATGATGGTCCCATACAATAGCAGTGATGATGAGAAGGTTCTCAGTTATTGTCACTACATATAACAGCAATAATGAAACTATGTACATAAGTTGTAGTTCCCAAATTTTTGAGAATTCCCAGAGAAGAAATTCTGATGTGACATTATGCATTCTTAATAGTGATTCTTCTAGAACAAAAAGCAGAATTATTAACATATTTCCTATTCAGTACTTTTTGGGGTGATAGTAGATTCATAGTAGAACTAGTTAATCAAATTCAAGCAAAGAGAATAACAAAAGTGACAATATATTGTAAAAGAGCAACAAGAATGCCACATATCTATATGCTGCAAATCATTTGGCAAAAGACTTCCAGTATTTTTTGTAGGGATATGAAGTTTCTGAATCTTTGAGATTTCCAAGAGAAGACAAACACATGTCATTATTTATTTTTAATCATGAAACTCCAATAAGTAAAGGTAAGTAGAGGAAATATTTCTTTTTAGTGTGGTTTGAAGTGATTTGGGGATTAACTGAAGAAAGTATCATGAAAACTATAGTAAATCTTGCTTTAATAATAAACTATTATGAGCAATGTGGTTATGTCTTAATCATTTATCTTGCTTTTTTTTAAAAAAAGACTCATGAACAACAGTTATTCATTAACCTTGGATATTTTGATATTTTATTAATTTTTAATAGCATCTTGAATGCTTTGCAAGTTTTATATGTGCATGTATACTTTTGGATATGTATTAAATATTAAAAGAACATACACACACACATATCCAGAAAGACACTTTTCAGTCTTTATCTACCGTATTTATTGGCGTATAACACGCACTTTTTCCCCCTGAAAATAGGGGGCAAATGATGTGTGCGTGTTATACGCCGATATAAGCTCTCCGCCGGCCGGCCCCACCTCGGCCCGGGCAGCCACGGCCCTTCCCCGTCCTCCTGCTGCCGCTGCNGCCACGCAGGGTAGGCAAAGAACTAGGAAATGGCATTGACTTTCTAGATCCTTTGAGGAGCAATTCCATAAAATTTAATAATAACTTGTATGTTTAATCAGTCAATCGTTGAAAGTCATGTGATTTGGGTGGCACAATTTTGAAGCTGGTGAAAGATTCTCATCTGAACCTTTGTCCCTCTTCCTTCTCCACCCCCCCCATGATTGAATTATCACATACCGCAGTTGGGTCAAGTGGTATTGGTACAGGAATCTGTAAGATCAAATGAATATAGAAATCAGTCATATAAGACACAAGACCAGTGGTGGGATTCAGCCAGTTCGCACTAGTTTGGCAGAACCGGTAGCTAATTTTTTGTTTCCCAAGCCCAGAACGGACTTCCAGAAGCGGTATCCACACAGAGAACTGGTTGTTCATATATCTGAATCCCACCACTGCACAAGATCATAAAATAGGACTTACAGGCAGTCCTCGACTTACCACAGTTCATTTAGTGACTGTTACAAGTGTGCTGAAAAAGTGAGTTATGTCCATTTTTCACACTTATGACCGTTGCAGCATCCCCATGGTCACATGATTTACATGCTTGAAAATTGACTCACAATTTTGATGGTTGTCCCGGAGTCCTGTGATTCCCTTTTGCAACCTTCTGACAAGCAAGGTCAATGGGGAAACCAGATTCACTGAACAACCATGTTATTACCGTATTTATTGGCGTATAACACGCACTTTTTCCCCCTGAAAATAGGGGGCAAATGATGTGTGCGTGTTATACGCCGATATAAGCTCTCCGCCGGCCGGCCCCACCTCGGCCCGGGCAGCCACGGCCCTTCCCCGTCCTCCTGCTGCCGCTGCTGCCGCGGCCCTTCGCCGCCCGGCCCCACCTCGGCCCGGGCAGCTGCGGCCCTTCGCCACCCGGCCCCACCTCGGCCCGGGCAGCCGCGGCCCTTCGCCGGCCGGCACCACCTTGGCCCGGGCAGCCGCGCCCCTTTCCCATCCTCCTGCTGCCGCTGCTGCCGAGCTCTCCGCCGCCCAGCCCCACCTCAGCCCAGGCAGCCGCGGCCCTTCGCCGCCCGGCACCACCTTGCCCGGGCAGCCGCGGCCCTTCACCGTCCTGCTGCCGCTGCCGCCGCGGCCCTTCGCCGCCCGGGCAGACACGCCCCTTCCCCTTCCCCGTCCTCCCGCTGCCGCCACCGCCAAGCTCTGCGCCGCCCGGCCCCATCTCGGCCTGGGCAGCCGCGGCCCTTCGCCGCCCGGCACCACCTTGGCCCGGGCAGCCGCGCCCCTTCCCCATCCTGCCGCCGCGGCCCTTCGCCACCCGGGCAGCCGCGCCCCTTCCCCGTCCTCCCGCTGCCGCCACCGCCAAGCTCTCTGCCGCCCGGCCCCATCTCGGCCTGGGCAGCCGCAGCCCTTCGCCGCCCGGCACCACCTTGGCCCGGGCAGCCGCGCCCCTTCCCCGTCCTGCCGCCGCGGCCCTTCGCCGCCCGG